ATCCAAGTTTTCCATGAAAGATTTAGGAGAGGCTGATGTAATTCTTGGAATAAGAATTAAGAGGATGAACAAAGGATTGGTAATGACTCATAGTCATTATATTGAGAAAACTCTCAAGCGGTTTAATTTTACCGAGTGTTCTCCTGTGAGTACTCCTATGGACCCAAGTGTGAAATTAATGCCAAATAATGGCGTTCCCATTTCACAATTGGAATACTCTAAGGCTATTGGTAGCTTGATGTATGCCATGACAAGTACCAAACCTGATATTGCTTTTGCTGTGGGTAAGTTGAGTAGGTACACTAGCAATCCTAGTGCTCAACATTGGCAAGCAGTGAATAGAGTGTTTAAATATCTCAAGGGAACCATGAATTATGGTTTGAGTTATTTGGGGAGTCCTTCGGTTTTAGAAGGTCATTCAGATGCAAGTTGGATTACCAACATGGAGGACCATTCCTCAACTTCTGGTTGGGTATTCTTGCTTGGGGGAGGTGCCATTTCTTGGGCTTCCAAGAAGCAATCTTGCATTACAAACTCGACAATGGAATCTGAGTTTGTTGCGTTAGCAGCTGCTGGTAAAGAAGCAGAGTGGCTAAGGAATTTAGTCTATGAGATTCCTTTGTGGTCTAAATCGATAGCACCTATTTTTATCCTTTGTGATAGTGTTGCCGCTTTGGCTAAGGCATATAGCCAGGTTTATAATGGCAAGTCTAGACATCTAGGTGTTAGTCATAGTATGATTAGAGAACTAATCATGAATGGTGTGATTTCGGTTGAGTTTGTGAAATCGCAACAAAATTTGGCAGATCACTTGACTAAAGGTCTGACAAGAGACTTAGTGCACAAGTCTGTAATCGGGATGGGATTAAAGTCCATTTAATTCTATAATGATGAGACACCCAATTCCCTACTAATATAATGTTAGGAGTTGAATTCAATGTGGAAAGCTCATACTTATAGATTGGAACACATGAAGTATTCATCCCAGGTATGTGTTCGGTTCTGCAAGTTAGCCAGGTTGAAGTTTAACTTCTTAATAATTCCTTTGATAAATGTATGTGCAGATACATGGAAAGGAGTTACCTACGTGATTGTGAAGTGTAGCCGCATTTCAAGAGGTTGTGGACTTGACCTTGATACGATCATGAGAGGATTGGGACACACGGCTTTATAATAGTGTCAAGTTGTATTATGCTAGAAATTCAATAAACTAGTATGTATTTTACTTTCTGGTATTCAAATGGGTTGATGGGTTCAATTCTTAGAACACCCTGATTCTCGAGTATTTGCAAATGTATGATACTAAGTGGAAATTCAATTGTTTTGATATTTTCATTATGTACTAGTTTGTTTTGTTTGATAAGGTTATGTTTGTTCAAGGGTTACACTAAAATGGGGGAGGAATGTTGGTGATTTTCGTGTCACCATGTCATTTTAAGTAACTGGAACTAACATGTGAGCTAAGGGGCTTCATAATTTGTACTCTAATATATGTACGGGGTGGTGCGGAGTGCACGCATGTATAAGATCGAATTAGACGCCGGTTCGACGACTAGTCGGGGGTCCGGGGGCAGCGCCCCTGGGTCCGGGTTTTCCAAAGGGGCAGCGCCCCTTTGGCGGGGTCTAGGGGCAGCGCCCCTAACGGGGTACAAGGGGCAGAGCCCCTGGCTGGGGTCCCTAAATCCTCACCGAATTTTACATATGGGAACATAGTGGAAAATTCAATTTCTTGAGGGTGATTATGGTAAAACTAACGAAACTCGTTAGTTTTGGTAACCCTAAATCCTCATTAAATCCGGATTAATATTACTTGCTTCCAAAGTGACTAATGACGGCCTAACCCTAATGAAACCCTAATCTTGTTTAATATATAAACAGCTCTTCCTCTACAGAAGAGGGTTACGATCTTAAGCTCTCATTTGTCATCATACTTTCACAGAATCCTCTAGCATATTGGCTTACATTTTCTGTGCTTAGAAACGTAAGTGTCCACTTGGATTATCCTAGGCTGAATTTCTTGTAACCCAGACATAGGGTAGAAATATCAGTTCGAAAAGTGATATCACGATCCAAGTTGGTATCCAGATCTCCACCACAAACCCTAATTTTCCTACGTATTCCTCCTCCCAAAACCTTCAGAAAATGAAAAATATGTATATTAGAATCATAACAATACTAAAAAAACTTCTAGGGGGGATCTCATAGTGATTCCACAAATTATAACTTTTTAGCTGGTACTCCAAACGTGAATCATCAACATTACGTGGGGGTTTATGCAATGGATAAACGTACTACAACAACACCATGGGCCACCAGCCCATAAACGTTGTATATGACAGCTCTGTTGCAACTCTTATAAATTTTGTCCATGGCCTAATAGTATCTCACTTTCAGCTGGCTCATGTTCTCGACCCACAACAATCCCCAACAACACTTTTAGCCATTATTTATTACTAGACAAGGCCTACGACATCATCATTTTGTTGCCCATTTTCATCTTTATGCAACCCAATACAGTCAGTCACCTCAAGGTGGTTCACGACTCCTTAATCAAGCTAAGAATCATCCCACAAACACCTTTTTTATTGAGCATGTAAGTGCCCAAAACATGACTCAATGATTCGTCGATCTTGCTTCAATATTCCAATCGATGTTGGTGCAATCTCCTCCAGACTATAACTACTATATGGACTATGGGGCTAGCTCACATATGTCCTTCAACTAAGGTAACATGATCTTTGACACCTTTTTAATTCTAAATCTAGCATGGTTGGAAATGTGTTATCCTCTCGGTTAGTCACATTGCTCGTACTTTTTTTCCTTATTCTCAAAATCGTCTATCTTTAAAGAAAATATGTTTGTTTCCTATTAGATGGTTAAATATTTTGTTTATGGTCATCGATTTAGAATTGATAATTTTGTCTCTATAGAGTTTAACCCTGTTCGTTCTCTATCAAGGATCTTAAATTAAGTACCCTACTCAAATGGTCCAAGAGTTTTAATGACTTGTACCCGATCCTTCCAGTTTCCCTTTCTTCCCTCTTAACCATGCTTATAGTTGTGGTGTCCATTCCCACTTGGCATCACAAACTAGGTCATCAAGGGTCTTCCATACTTTAGTTTTTTTAGTCTCATTATTTTAGTTAATGTACATCGAATAAACTCCATATTTATCATGCTTTTCAAGTCGGAAAACATTGTCGCTTACCTTTCTTGTTATCTGCTACTAAAACTTCTCGTGTGTTTGATTAGTCCATTCTGACTTATGGACATCACATGTCCCTAGTATTAGTAGTTTTAAATATTACATTATGTTTTTGGATGATTTTTCACATTTTTTGTGGGTTTTCCTTCACGAGCAAAATCTGATGAGTTTACATTTTCCTATAATTTTCAAGCATATATCAAAAATCAATTCAAAACTGATATTCAATATCTATATATTTTTTTTATATGATAATGGTTGTAAATTTAATAACCAACCCAATCAAAATTATTTTCATTCTAATGGGATTAATATTAGATTCTCTTGCCCATATATTTCTCAACAAAATGAAAAGGTTGAATGCTCAATACGCACACCAAACAACATCATTCGCAATTATTTATTTCAAGCATCTCTTCCCTCAAATTGTGGACCAAAGTACTTCTTACAGCAGTTCACACCCTCAACCTCCTTCCCACAACTACCTTATCATACAAAACACCTTTTAAGGTGTTAGTTCATATTGTTTATGATCTATGATCATCTTCAAAGGTTTGGTTACCTATGTTATCCAAACATTTATTCTATTGCATCATACAAGCTTTCCCTATTTAGCTTTATTTGTCTATCTTGGACTCTATATTGATCATAAATGTTATTGTTGCTTGGATCTTGTTTCTCATCGTATTTTCATCTCCTGTCATGTTATTTTGATGAGGATCACTTTCCCTTAGCTAACATTCATGTTGCTCCCTCTAATTCTAAGTATGACTCACTCATCTCCTGGTAATCCTCTTATAAACCTCCCTTATCCCATGACCAACATGAAGGATACTACACCTAGTCTAGCTACTCATGTCCTTTTGGTTGGCACAACCAAAATCTCAGATTCTACTCCCCATCCTCTTGTTTCTACCACAAACCCCCTTCTACTTCGGTTACCTACGGTTATTAGATGACTACTCGATCATGGATTGGTTCCCTAATCACCTACTTGTAACATATTAATAACTATGGATAACATGACCATATGTATTAATCCATCAACATTCATGTTCAATTTCAAGTATTTAGCAAATTATCAAAACTAAGGTTTTGGTCAAACTTCTTTATTCATCAAGTCGTAAATTACATGTGGTAATTTTGATGTTCTAAGCTTGAAAACATGTTCCCCATACTTCATACTTCAAGATTTATTACATACAAAAAGTTCCAACATCTATAGTTTATGAGAAATCTTCCATTAAAGTAAACAAAGTTACAACGAAGGAGAACTCACCGTTAATTCAAGCTGTTGAAGAATAAATCTTGCTTTTACTTCTTTAATTATTTTATGTGTCTTAAATTTTGAGCTCAAAAGTTTGGAGAATTTTTTAGAATGTTTGAAAGATAAACGAGTGACTTTAACCCTTTTAATGTCACTATTTTAAGTAGGCCAAGTTACGTGGGCCGTGTTCTGCCGATGTTGTTCCTGTTTCTAGAATTAAAGGGATCGTTTAATGTTGATGAACAAAAACTAGCCCATTTTCCTTTTTACACAAGTTGTGCTTTATTTTCATGAGTTGCGTTTTCTACCAAATTTATCATTTAAGCAACGTATTTTGGCCAGTCTAATTTATGTAAAGGGTTTACATAGGCCATGTTTCCCAAGGCTACTTTTACATAGGTTGTGTAGTAGTAAAAGAATTCTTATTTAGGCATTGTGCTTTAATCAAAATCAACCAAAATCAATTCTAAACTTGATACAAATCAAACCCCATTTTCTTAATCTTCATCCCTAAAATCAAACATAAAATCCGGAAGAATTTCAAAGATTTCTAGATCATAATGGTTTGAATGCATGTTTAATTGTTTAACCTTCAACCACAACAATACTCATGCTCGGTCTATTACATCTTTGAGCAATATACACACATCTATTTTTGCAACAAATTAGACATGAATGATGAAACTATAAACAACAAAAGATCAATCTACACATAGCTCAATAGTTTTAAGTAATCATACACCCTTCTTTGTCTTCCATAAATGTTGACCATTTTATAGCATGTTGACCATTTTAAATGTGAGATGATCGATCACGACTACTTCTTTCAGAATCTTCTTTCTTCCACATTGTCTCCATTTTCTGAAACCACTTCAATGGTCGAACCTATATGGATATTTCTTTTTTTACTTAATATAGAAATAATGGAAAAGAAAAAAAAAAAAAAAAAAAAAAAACTGTGTATGTGTATGTGTATGTGTATGTGTGTGTAAAAAGTGAAAGGAATATATATACCTTCCAACGCCTCCTACGATTTATAGAATAAAAAATTGATTCCAATCGAGGAATAATGTTCCTAAATGTTGGTCTCTCATTAGGATTCTCATGCCAACATTCTTCAATCAACCTGTGAGATAAAAGATTTTATAAAAACAACTTATCAAAATATAATGACATTTTAATCCTTCATAGAACATACTCTTTAAGCCCATGGGCATAACTTTTTGATGGAGCATTAAATGGAGGGCGTTCATTTGCAACATATGCTTTTGGAACATCATTTTCATCCATCGTGAAAAATGGTTGGCAGCCTTCAATCATCTTCACCAGATCAAAGGACAACGATTTAATTTTTAAAGTAAACAAAAGGTTTAAATATTAAAGAAGATGAAACATAGAAATTAATATATGTTATAAAGATATTATAATACCTCTTGTAAAATTAAAGCAAATGAGAAAACATCGACTTTGGTATCATAGTCTTCATTTCTAAAGACCTCTGGAGCAACATATCTCCCTGTTATGTTATATTATAACAAATCATTCAAAAATAAATAAATAAAATATAATAGGAAGAAATGAAAGTAGAAAAATAGCACTCACAGGTAGTGTCATTATATGTCATGAGCTTTTCTTGTTTGACATTATCTGTGACTTTGAACAGCTCACTGATTCCAAAGTCTGCAACTTTTAGATGTCCAGAATCAGCCCGCAAAATATTCCTGTTTTCTTACTCGTATAAATAATAAAAATATTTAACAATTATGATAAAGAAACGTACAATTTAAAAAAAAAAATATTATATAAAATTTGTAAAAACAAACTTACGAAGGCTCTAGATCCCTGTGAATAATCGGTTCCGGTTTATTTTCATGCAAATAGTTCATCCCCCTGAGATCGCCAAAAGTTATTACAATTAACTAAAAAGACAATTTTAACTAGGAAGTGAAAGTACAAAAATACCCTTCTACCTAAAATAACAAGTACCTTGCAATATCCATGGCAAATTTCAAAGCCGTTGATGGCTTTAGTGCTTCTTTTCTCTTCAAAAATAGACGAAGATCACCCTAAAATAAATGCAAAAAGTTTTTTTTTTTATTTAATAATCAAGATAAGACAAGACAGGAAATGACTAAAATGCCCTTCATCGAAAATAAACCTTTGGTAAATATTCGGTTATGATCATCATTGGACTACTTTGAGTTACAGCGCCCAAAAACTGAACCACATTTGGATGTCGTATCTTTTGAAGTAATTCAAGCTCATCCCTAAAAGCCCTCCTGTTAATAACCCATAAATTAAATTACAAAATAATGTGTTACAATTTATTAAAAAAAAAAACATATTTATGGTAACTAAACAACCCACACTTTCTCCTTATCAGTAAAAAGTTCATCTCCAAGTTTTTTTACTGCAACTTTAGTTCCACGCCATGAAGCTATGGTGAATGTACCCTAAAAAAAGTTCCAAACAACATTTAACCACATGAAGAAAATAAAAAGATTTCATTATATATTATAAATTATAAATTAAATCAATAGATGACTTACCTTAGTAATGTTGACACTGTCTGTAAAATCAAGTTCTTTAGCATTAATTTCATATTCTGGAACTTCACGAGCATTTTTGACATGCATTGGAGCCATCTAAGTATATACATATTATTACGAAAAGAAACAATTAGAAATAGGAAAATGTAAACTTTTTAAATAACTAAACAAGTGTCATATAAACAGCAAATTTATAAACAAGAAGATGAACTTACGAGAGGTTTGGCACCATGTTTCTCCAAAAGTTTGACCATGTCATGGTTCTTGTAATGGATTGAATCTGCAAGAGGCTGTTTAAGGAATATTACATTTTTCAAAATTGAGTTTATAATTGGGTATTTCAAAATACAATGCCTTGATAAACAAAAACTCTGAATGTTGTAAATGGAAGAACACTGATTAGATAACAAAAATTGACATTAAAAGCAATTATAAAATCTTACAGTGCTACCCCATCGATCTTTGACATCAACTTCTGCACCTCCTTCCAACAACAATTCGGCAACATCACAAAACCCTTGGCAAGCTGCCACATGTAACGCAGTTCGATTATCGATATCTTGAAAATTAACATCAGTTCCTGAACTTAAAAGCTCCTTGATCCCATCCAAATTACCCTCACTTGAAAAAAACATCAACCTAACCCTAGGATCAATCGCATCCAATCCATCAACCTCTTCTTCTTCCGAATCGGAACCCGAAACCCGGTCCGGCGCCATTGACGACTGTCTCCCTAGCGTAAACCTAATTGGTGGTTGCGACTCCATTTTTACTCGAAACAAGTGATACCCAATGCCCGTTGAGCAATTTCTTGGAACCCAACCAGATAAAAACTACTGTTTATACTTTATATACTCCTTTTGCGAACTAAATTCTTGAAAATTTGAAATGATTTTGTACCAATAACAACTCCAATGCACGGAGACAGATCACTTCAGTGTTGCATCTTTGGATCTCGCCGTCGTCGTTGATGAAGACGTTGACAATCGTTGATCTGAATAGGATCGTAGACAGGGGTCCGTTGATTTGATGACAGATTGTCAAGATCAAGGCTGCGGAAATATAGAGGAGAAACCAAGCAAGAGGAAAAGTTTCATTTTGGCTCCTTCGGCTTGATTTCTATTGGTAAATACCCTCCTTGTTTTTTTCCCAAAATGCCCCCGAAATGGCTATATAACTGTCCTTAACAACCTTGATAAACGGTAAAAGATTGTTTAGTTGAAATGTTACATTATGTAATAATATATACTAAATCATACAACAAAAGTATTAAATTGTGTCAGGGATAATTAGGGGTGTCAAAAAAACCCGAACCCGATTAACCCGACCCGACCCTAACCCGAATAAGGTAATTAGGGTCGGGTTTAGTAGGGTTAGAATTCCAAATCGGGTTATTCGGGTTAACCCGACAAACCCGATTTGTAATTAGGATCGGGTTTAGGGTTGATTTTTACAAAAAAATCGGGTTTCGGGTCAATCCGAATAACCCGGTTAGGAATTCACAACCTTTACATATTTCACTACATATTCCACTGTTGTCTACTTGAACAGTACAAAAAGACTACAAACCCTTTGAAAACGTAAATTTTTGTGACTCTAGAAGCATATGAGGGTCAAATAACTCCCATTTGTGAAGTTGAAGTCCAAATAACTTCACAAATGGGAGTTATTTGACCCTCATATGCTTCTACAGTCACAAAAATTTTCGTTTTCAAAGGGTTTGTAGTCTTTTTGTACTGTTCAAGTAGATAACAGTGGAATATGTAGTGAAATATGTAAAGGTTGTGAATTCCTAACCGGGTTATTCGGGTTGACCCGAAACCCGATTTTTTTGTAAAAATAAACCCTAAACCCGACCCTAATTACAAATCGGGTTTGTCGGGTTAACCCGAATAACCCGATTTGGAATTCTAACCCTACTAAACCCGACCCTAATTACCTTATTCGAGTTAGGGTCGGGTCGGGTTAATCGGGTTCGGGTTTTTTTGACACCCCTAACTGCATAACAATTAATTAGCTTAGTCACTCCTTATAAACGAATGTTAACATCCAAAATCAGGAGGAATCACCTTCAAACTCGAACAAGAGAAGTGGGGAATTCGTAGAAGAAGAAAGAAGATGTCGAGTGGCTCAAGAATCTCCACAGGTTCAAGCAATCACAAAGTAGATAAGGAAGTCCTCTGTGATTGTGAACCCCCTTCAAGAATTCGTACCTCCAAGACCAAAGATAACCCTGGAAAGAAATTCTGAGTGTGCCCTAACTCATTGGTAAATACCTAAATTGATTTTATTTGTCAAATCGCATCAGTTTTCTTCTTCTTACCTTCTATGTTGTTGATTTTATTACTACAGAAACCAGGGAAAAAGTGTAAATTTTGGGAATGGATTGATGAAGAACCTGAGAATATGAAGCCCATTGCAGAAGATACTCTTTCAGATGTTGCAGATTATCTTATACAAGTTTTAGAGGATGTGGCATCTGTTAGAGAAGAAGTGAAACAGTTGAAGAGTATGATTTGTGTACTGATTTTGTTGGTCATTGTTAAGGTTATGTTTTGGGGTTGAAGATATGCTTCTGGAGGTTTTAGGGGATTTTGATGTAATAGACTTGTTGTGTAATTCTTGTTTATGTAATGGATGTTGATGTACTTTATGTTTATGTAATGGTAAAGTTTATTGCTATTATGTATGGATGTTGATGTAATTAATTCAGTCAAATGGAGGTAAAACCATGACAAATTACAGGAAATATTTTTTATAGACAATTGAATGTAAAGACAAATAAAAGTGGCTGACAAAAGGCATCAAGCCATTTAATAATTACAAAAGATAAGCCCACTAGGAGGGGTAATACAGTAATTTAGTTCAAAATATTCGACAAGTACATCAAAAGTAAACAACTAGTAGGGGTAATATAGTAATTAAGTTCAAAAGATCACCCACAGTACATCAAAATATATATCACATGCATTACCCCACTACACCAAAACCTAATTACTCTAAGGTCACAGGTTTGTCTTGGCTGCAACCAGTTCCATCCTTGAGTTTAACATTTTTCTGAAGACCAATTTCTGTGATTCTTTCTGAAAACTTTCTCACCCTACCAGCATCATTCAAAGGAACCTTCTTCATAGGACTTCTCTTCACAGGAGCCTTCTTCAAAGGAGCTTTCTCCACAGGAGTTCTCTTGACAGGAGCTGGAGTTGATTAACTTGGACCTGCTGTGCTTGAAGCTGGAGTTGATTGACTTGGACCTGTTGTGCTTGGAGCTGGAGTTGGCTTACTTGGGCATGTGGCTTTGTTGTGGCTAGTTTGGTGGCAAATGGTACATCTTAGAGGAATGCTTTCCCTTGACACAGTATGCCTTGTGTGCCCACTTAGCTCTCTTTCTGCCTGATCTCTTTTCCTTTTGACACATGGCCTGCCAGGTAACCTCCTCTTTAATGGAGGCAAAATACTATGAAATCCTTCAACATGTGGCCACTCAGAACTGTCACTGAGTGGGTGGATGTTATACTAATAGCTACTAAGGAAAGAGGCTTTAGTATAGGAGTCTGATACAAAAGCCTCCACATCTAGGTTCAATGATGAAATTGCTAATATGGCATGTACACATGGAATGCCTGTGAGTTGCCAGCTTCTGCATCCACATGCCCTCTGATTCAGATCAACAGCATACATCTCATTTCCTGAGAACACTTCAAATTCTTTGTAGCCACTCACATAAGGTACCCAAAATCTGTCAATATATAAGAAGATAGTCAGTTACCTTCATAAACCAATGTATAACTAATGAAATTGTTACTAACCTTTGCAATTCTTTCAAATCCTCTATCTCCCTTCTGATACTTGGGCATATGTCCAAATCCCAACTCAAACCATTTTGCTTCTGCATCCATAACCTCTGTATTGCCCAACATCTTATGTCCTCCAACATTGTTATCAATGATCATGTCTTGGGTAGATAGGTCGTATTGCATTATGATCTTCTTGAACCAAGTCATCATTCTGTATTGGACAAAGTTTGTTGAGGAAATGATCATTGAAGTTTCTTTTGAGAGATATAACTTCATCGTCCTCTACATGTTCAACTTTCAGACCATCTTCTAAAATGGAGTCAACATCATCAATAGAAACCAAATCTTCATCTTCAAGGTCTGCTTCTTCCTCCTGAATCCAATCAAACAAAGGTTCATGATAATGATCCACATACACATCCAATCTCTTCTTTTCATTGATATCTTCAAGAAACTCGTTAAAATCGCAGTCATTCTGAATAGCATGTAATCCCTCCGACAACCTCACTTCATGTGGACAGTAATACACATCTCTGCATCTTTCGTTAGTAAGCTTTTCAAGAAAGGGGATGAAATCAGGGAAGTTCATCTTGTTCACAACCGTGTATGGTACAGAGGCTTTTACTCCATTAAAATACATCAATGGGGTAGGTGTGAACACCCCATTATAGTGTACATCAACGATTGTATCTGCATCTTCTGCCATTGTTGATGGTGATTGTGAGTCAAGAACTTTGAGGGATTATCGGCTGAGTGAATGGAGGAATGGCTGATTAAATGGGCCCTAATTATCGTTTCAATGTGGTGTAATTTAACAATATCCACGTAAGGTGACATGTGGATGCCACCTGGTTATTTCATTTCAAGAAAATAAAATAAAAATCGTATATGACCGGTAAACCGGCTATAGCCGGTCAAAAGGATTGCATAATTACAAAAAATATGGTATAAGGGTTTAATTTACAAAAAAAAAAAAAGAATAAGGACTAAATGTGTACATTTCAAAAAGTAACTTACCTTATCAAGTCATTATCCCCTTGTGTTATTCATGATTTTGGGTTTTCATCATCATTTGGTCTATTCAAAAGAAAAGGTATAGTAGTGGAAATGTTACATTATGTAATAATACTCTTTTATGTTTGATTTTCACATATACAAACATCAGGTTTGTTCCATGATCATGGAAATTCATTTCGACTATCAATTATTCATGTTATTCTAAAGTTAAAACTTAAAAGTATTTTGTTATATATATTTGTGAATAACTTACCTTGGGGGGGGGGGGGGGTTCTGGAGGTAAACTATGGGATGATGGAGTTTTCTCCAATATCAAGTAAGTACGTGTCCATTTGAAAAAGTTTGTAAATGTCATCTGTGTTGTCCAATTTGAATTTGTGAAAAAGGATTTTACATCTATCTTGTCTCCGATATAGGGAGGAGCTTATACAAATGCTAAAATTGAAGAGGTATGTACAAAAGTATGCATAACCTTTCTTGCATCCCATTAATGTTATGATGGATACAGGGTTGACTGAAAGCAGAACTATGATCTTTGTAGGAATCTATTCAAGCTACAAAAAATATTTTTTGGATGAATTCCATAATGTATTGGTTGATAAAGTAGATGGTGAAAGGTTGAGTTGAGAGCAAGTGTATTTGAGGCAATAGAGGAAGAGGATAAGACAATTGAACATGTGACAACCCGAAATTTTCTTTTGTACGAACTCTACAGTCAAACACTTCAATTAAAAGACAAATTCATTTCTGCTAATTTTTAGCTCGGTTTAAAGTCTGTTTGGGTATTTTTAGATATTTATTCTTCGAGAGAATAAACGAAAGGAAGTATTTTTTTTAGGATTATTGGGGAACAATTAAAACAAATAACACCTTGATAAGGTGTTGCGGCCAAACATGAGGGGTGG